GGTTGCCACATGGAGGAGTTAGTGTCCCAAGAAGGTTCCCACCAAGGCCCAGGTCTGGGTCTCCTTGGGTCTTAGCTGCCTCCTCCAAAAAGGTGCTGAGTATTCTGTGAGCCTTCAAAAGCTACACACCCAGAAAGGGCAAGAGCAGAAGCCAAGGAGGCTGCCTAAGAGCAGAGCACCTATGACAGGGTTGCTGTGATGTATATGGAGACACATGTCAAGGGGAAGAGTCCCCACTAAGCCCGGATCACTGTCACCCCTTGGTAGTGACACCAAGGATGATGTCCTCCCAGCATCCCAAGCAGACTCACATCTCGGAACTCCACGAGGCCCAGCTCACCCAGCTGGCTCACACAGGTGTAGGCAGCTGCTGTGGGAAGGAAGAGCTGGACCAGGGCCACCTCCTCGCCACGAAACATGGAGCCCATGGTCCTGCAGGGTGAGTTAGGGGGTGTCAGGGGCAAGCCACAGATAGGGCCCAGCCAGCAAGTAAAATGTACACCTCTGATAGCACAATCCCAGAAGGTGCTGCTAACAACCCCACTAAACAGGTGGTAAAACTGAGGCCCAGGAAGGGGGTAATAGGATGCTGAGATCCAAAGGAAGTAAGTGGTATGATAGGCATAGAGTTGGCCTGGCTGACCCCTCTGCCTTCCACTTGAAACCCAGCATCAAGGTCCCTCTCTCAGCTACTCCCCTCGCCCTGACCCCTGTCCAGAGACACTGGCTCTGCTCATCTCTGGGGCTGTGATCCCTCCAGGTTAAAGCTTCACCCTAGATCCTGCTTATTTATCCCTGGGCCCTCAGGCAACCACCACCTCCAGTCTTGTCTTGGGTACAAGAGCCAGCAGGCAGTGACAACTGACACCGGGCTGGGCTGGAGCTTGCCCTTGGACAGCTAGAGCCTCCTACTTTCCTATGGGAAGGAAGATGGGAGGGCATCTCCTCTGGGCCCCCATCGCCACTGGGCCACAGCTGGTGCTGGTGCCCTGCTGCTGGTGCTGCTTGTGGCAGTTGGAGTGGGGGCTGGGGACAGCCTCCCAGGTGTCGAAACCATTGAAAGTGAAACTGTGAAGCAGGCGGGAAGGGACTTGCTCAAATGCAAGCTGGGGGAAGGGGGTACAAAGCCAGGATGGCCTCTACTGGGTGCCCCAGCTTGGAAGCTAGGATGCCCTGTGGGTCCCCTGCTTGCTCTGAGGCCACTGCTTTTCAGTCTCAGGACCCCTCATGGTTCTGTTTTCTGAACTCCCAAAATCAATGTAGAGAGGCTGGATCAGGGAGTCTCACTCCAGGGAGCCCCGCCTGCCGCTGCCTGGGCCAACCCAGCTGGTCACTTCCTCCGTAGGCCTGGTTTACTTAACTCTGAATAGGAAACCACAGCTCCATCCCTGGCCTGGGGAAAAGAGAATCCAGGGCAGCCCCAGCCTGCAAAAGAGTAGGCCTGGGCAGAGACGAAGGGCAAAAGGGGACGGTACCACGGTCCTAGGAAATGGCTCTGGCCACTGAGCAGGGCTTGGAGACCTATCCACATTGGGCCTGGCTGTGTGACATGGGACAAGCCCCTTGCCCGTGCTGAGCCTCCACTTCCCATTTGAGTGAGTGTTCAAGCAGCCACACTACCTCACCTGGTCCTATAGAGGCTGGGAGAGGGCTGGTTTAAAGTGGCCCTGCCAGGAGAGGGACCAGTAAGGGGGTAAGCCAGGCACGAGCCAGGTATGAGCCAGGCGCACACAGGGCTGCAGCGCGGGCAATCCCCGCACACGGGTCCCCTGCCAGGCTAGAGTTCAGACTCCAGCACCCTGTGCCCCTTCCTCCAGCCCACCAAGCCTCTTCTCCGCGCCCTGCTGGTGGGCTCTGGAACCACCCAGCTCCATTCTAGCCTAGCTATTTCCTATTTGGGCCTCAGTGTCCTTATCTGTAGAATTGGCCCCTCCCCCCAGGCAAGATGCAGCAGGGCAGGCTGTGAGCAAAGGACCGGGAAAGCTGGACTCAGAAATTGTCAGGCATTAAGACCTCACCCTCCTTTCCTTCCTGGTCGCCTCTGCCACCCGCGGCACGGCCAGACACTCTCGCGGTGACCGCTTGAGTTGTTTCCACTGCCCCAGCTGGGTGGGGTGCCAGAACCCCCTTCCCGGAGCCGGGCAAGTGGGTGGCAGGCAGAGCAGGGACTTCGCGGACGGCGCTGATCACTCACTCCGATGGGCCAAGCCACTCCGCTCTCAAATCTCAACCACCGGATCAGAAAGATACAAAATAACGCACCCTTGCCTCAGGCCCGCGCCGCTCACTCCCGGCGGGGTGGGCGGGCCAGGGCGGGGCGAGAGCCGGAAACGTCCCGCCCCTAGCCTTGCCCCGCCCTCAGCCGGAATCCTGGGCGCCTGGGAGAGCTGGGCAGCCCTTGCAGGTGGTTTCTTTCCTTTCTCCGGGCTTACTTAAGTTTAAATAGGAAATGGGCAACGAGGCCAGCACACCGAGCGGAGAAACGGACCGGCTGCGGTCAGAAGACAGGGGAGGCGCCCCGCGCTGCCCGGTTGCAGCTTAGAGGATGGGACCCCTTCTCCCTCCACCTGGAGGGCTCGCTGGTCCTGGGGTCCAGACTCATCCCTCTCCGGCACTGTCCTCGGCCACAGGGACTCCCCCTTTCACCTCAGGCTCATACGCCTGCTCTGAGCTCCTAGGACAGGGGCTGAGTGCCAGACCCAGTGCTCTGTGTCCTTGCGGGGTGAGGTAGGGGCAGTTTCTCTCTAGGTCTCTTTCTTCAACGGCAGCAGGACACTGAGGACCAAGCCTCGCTGTCCTCTGCTCAGTGTGTTATGGGTCACTCAGAATAGGAACCAGATCAGCCAGATTGGAATTTGGAAAGCCGTTTATTACTGATCTCAGGGCCCTTATCAGCTCTCACGCAGGAGAGGACGGAAAGGCGCCTTGCCCAGAAAACAGGGGGGTTTTAAAACATGGAACCACACTCCGTTTGGTAAACAAATTCATTGACACAAAACAATGCTTTCAGGATATTTGTGACCACTAGTCAAACTAAATTTTCTGGGGCTTTGTGTTAGTTTCTGGTTATCTTGCACCTGCGTACCTGAAGGCAACCTTGCATAGTCTGAGGTTACAAAAAGTCAAAGCCCATTTAGTTTCCTTCAAGTCATCTCTGTAAGCTAACTTTGCTTACAGGAATTGGTGAGGTAGGAATTTTATCTAGCAAACAGCAAGAAACAGCCACTAGTTACTAAACAACTTAGAATAGTGGTGAGTATACATTTTTGCACAACAGAAAACACAAGATTGACATTTATAATCTAAAAATGTGAGTTGATCCATTACAAGTGCACCTAGCATGTGCTAGGAGATTCTCCCCGGAGCGCAGCGGGTTAGCTGTTCAGCCACCTGCACTGGGGGTGCCCTGGTGACTTTGTTGCTATTCAGTTTCATGAGATTCATCGGGTATCTGTCTAGAAACTGAGACTCATGACTTCGTGACTGTCCACCTGCCCGCACTTTGGATAGGCTGAATTGTACCCACTGGGACCGGCAGGAGGTAGGGGCTCTCAGTTCTGGTGATCCTTGAGCCACAGACACAGTGCAAGGACCTGAGGAGGTGTTGGAGCCCCAGAGGGAAGCCTAGAAACCAAGTCACAACCAAGGTCACATCCTCACAAAACTGAGGGGCTTGTGTTTGGGCCCTGTAGGTCTGTTCTGACCAGCAGTAAGAAAGGCCCCAGGACAGTTCTTCAGCATGCACGAGAAATTGAAGCCTGACCATGGTCACAAAAGCAGACCACAGGTGGTGGCACATGCTTGTAATCTCAGCTCTCTTCAGCTCTTATTTCAAGGCCAGCCTGAGATACATAGTGAGTTCAAGGCCAGCCTGAACTACATAGAAAGGCTGTCTCAGAAAGACCAAAAACAAAAACACTGGTGTCGGCTCCACTTGTACTGCAGAAATGCCTTGGGTGTATCAGCAAAAGCCAGATTACCAGCTGGGTACAGTCTGCCCCATATTTAATGCAAGTCCCATCTATCTAGGCACAATAAGGCAATATGCCAAGGATGTAAGTTTTGTCTGGGAAACGATAAGTTAGAGATGTTTTAGGATTTCTAAACCCACCTCTTTGGAAAGAACTCCTCTGTCTGCAGCAGCCACCAGGACTAGCAGTGGGGAGGGCAGGCACATGTGGGCTGTTCTTCCCTTCAGTTGCATCTCACCTGTGCCCAGTTCCACAGGCTGTGTGGTCCCAGGGGCGGTCTGTCTCTTTGTGGCAGGTCCATGCACACCTTGAATGTCTGATCTGCAGTTCTGCCTGAGTGAAAGGGCCACTTGGGCATCTCCCACTGATCCACAGCACACCTTCCCCTTTCTTTCCCTGATGCCTCTTGGAGGATGTTCTATATACAGCATTTTTGGAAAGGAAGGAGACCTGAGGTATCCCAGATCTGAATTACGTGTTGCATGCTATGTGACATGAGGATGACACTTGGCGTGTTGAGAATGGCAGGAAAAGCCAACAGGCCCAAGGTGCTATCAGTGGTCATTACATCAGTGCAGAGCTGGAGGGAATCACAGCGCGATGCTGAGACTGCAAACTGGGAAGTCCCAACACTGAGCCCTAGCCTGGTGTGGGGAATTTGAGAGGAAAGGGATGTGGCTGGAGGCAAGGCCAGCTCAGAGGCAGTAGGCTTTGTGTCACCCCCTCGTGACTGTCATCCAAGGAGCCCTCCCCCTCAGCCCTGAGTTTCCTCCTATACTTTGGCCTGAGGACTTGGGAGGCTCCACCTCCAAGGTCTTGGTCCTCAGGCCCCATTGCTTACACACTGGAGGCTATGGGAGCAGCAGGCCAGCATCATGGTACCTGTGGGCAACCACAAGCAGGGCCTCATGGGTCCATGGGGTCACACAAGACCAGCAGGGGGCCCCTGGTCCAGCTGCAAAAATCCACAGGCCTCAGGAAGTGGGAAGGTCCACCCTAGACCCCTGGACATACAACAGGACACAGCAGTGAGGGTCAGAGCTTTATTGGGCAGCAGGGGCTGCGGGCATGGAGCAGAGATGGGCACATCACCGGTAGAGGTAGTCGGCCTGGATATTGGCTGCGATCTCAGCCTCCCACTTGTCCCCGTTGTTCAG